ATTTGAACCATGCTAACTATAAACCAAGTAGTCATTCTGACTCAAGTTACCTACTGTATAAATATTGAGATTTAGGTACTAGCCATTAAAATAGTCTAACACATTTTCAATCAAATACACAATAAAAAAAAAGAAAAATTAGTCTAAGATCCCTCTTCTATTTTTAATAATAAAAGAGATCCATAATATTATTTTATGACGTGTCCCATCATCTCACACTCATATATCACACAGACATTTAAATTAATGGCGGGCCCTGTCTCTGTTTCGACACTACTATTCACTCCAAAACAATGAACCAAATAGTATTTGGGTTGCCTGCATTTACTCTTTTATGTTACTAACTTTACCAGTCTCCCACAGCTTTACTTCTCTCTCTCTCTCTCTCCATATTCAAATATCTTCTCTCTCTATATATAAATTACTTCTCTTCTCTTCGCAAAAAGGAACTATTCTTTCTCGAGTAAAACTATATCGAAGATGGCCGACAATCCATATCTATTGTAAATGAAGCCGAAGAAGAAGACGAAGAAGCATTAGAAATAAAAATAAAATGAAATATCCTCCGATCAGCGAAGCAAATCAATCAAGAAAACAAGAAGAAGCTCAATCAATCAAGACCAAGATCGAAGAAGACTTTAATTTCGGCTCGTTGGGTGGCTTCATTTCGACAGAACCCGTAATGTGTGCCGCCGCGTCTTCTTTCAAGGCCAAATTCTACCATTACGTCACTCAATTTTTGAGAGAATTTCTCTCATTTTAATTGAATTTTTTCTGGTTTGGATCAGAGAATTTCTCTTATTTGAATTGAATTTTCTCTGGTTTAGACCAGAGAATTTCTCTGGGTACAGTTTTCTCTGGATTTAATTTTCTCTAGTTTGATTTGAGGGACCAAGAATTGCTTTGTATGTTGAATTCATAAAGAATATAGACATGAATATGGTTATTGGATCAAGTCTCTTTTTGTAGTATAAGAATAATGTTGGATCAAATCACTAAAGCCATCTGTGAATTTCTCTGGTTGAAGGGATTTTCTCTGAGGTTGAGTAAATTTCTCTGGAGTGAAGAGGGAAATTTCTCTGGGTTAAATCCAGAGAAATTCTCTAGTGAGATTTTCTCTGAGATGTATCCAGAGAAATTTAGAATTTTCTCTGGGTCGAATTTTTCCTGGATCGATGTTGAGGGACCTTAGATATTATGAAAATATTGAGTGTCCTTTATACTATAAAATCTTCATACCAGAGACCTTAAAACAAATCCCCCATAAAAAAACTTAGGCATATGGGTTAGAGTTAAATTGTTTTATATACATATTTAGTTTAATTTATTTGTTTAGTATATTAGTTCTAAATTTTTTTAATATAAAAAATTAAAAAATATAAAAACTTAAAAATTAAAAATGATCTATATGGAGTCCAAATTAAAAAAATGGCTATAAAATTTGCAAAATGTTCAATTGGTCTAACCTCTAAAATATTAGTAAATATAATTAATTAATAATTAATGAGACTATTTTAAAGGTTTTTTTTTAGGGCCCCTGGTATTAAGACTTTATAGTATAAAGGACATCTAATATTTTCATAATGTCTAAGGTCCCTCAATTTGATCCAGAGAAAATCTATCCAGAGAAATTTCAACCCAGAGAAATTTCCATCCAGAGAAATTTCAAACCAAAGAAATTTGAAATATCTCTGGTTTGTTCAATTTTTATTTTTTATTTTTTATGTTTTGAAAATGTCTCATCCAATTCCCAAAATGGTGCAAATCAGAGTATTTCTCTGGTGATTGTAGGTACATCATACATGAAATCCACAAGCAATTGTTAAACTAAAGTTGGTAACATACCAAGGCTACAATTCTTCTCTGAGTTTCCATACCATTCTTCCTCAAGATAGGGCCTGAAGGGTTCACAGATATTACAGCACCAATACTGTCTATAATTGAATTATTTTCAGCAACCTTAATTTCACTAATAGGTCTGAAGAAGAATTGTTGTTGTGGTATAGAACCATCTTCATCAGGGCAAAGATCGATCGTTGAAGTTGCCTCCAAATATATCTCCCATTCATTTTTCAGATGGTTGAAGTTCTTCTGTGTGGGTTTCAAGCTACCCTTTGATATCAAATAGACTTTACCAACCCACCTCTTTGGCATAAGTCAAACCCAGTGAAATTTATTGACACAAGTCAGTGAAATTTCAAAAAAACAAACTCAGAGAAATTTGTTTAATATATATATATATATATATAGGTTGCTATTGTTGCTTATTCATTCAATGAAATGATCTTCTTTCTCTGCTTTGAACTGAAATTTCTCTGGATTGGTGAAGAGAAATTTTCTTGTTTGAATTGAAATTTTTCTAGATTGGTCCAGAGAAATTCTCGGGTTTCAATTGAATTTTCTCTAGATTGGTCCAGAGAAATTCTATGATTTGAACTGAAATTTCTCTAGGTTGTTTGGATTGAACTAGTCCTCAATGTTGCCCAAAATGCTGGAAACATCATACAGAGTTTTCGCCCAACTGTTCAACCTCCATACCAACTGCCTCCAAATTACAAAGCCCATGGGTCAATTATAAAGAATGAAGCACCAGCATGAATAATTCCAATTGCTGCTTTGAATCGTTATCAAGGTCGGTGATTGTAGGTACATCATACATGAAATCCACAAGCAATTGTTAAACTAAAGTTGGTAACATACCAAGGCTACAATTCTTCTCTGAGTTTCCATACCATTCTTCCTCAAGATAGGGCCTGAAGGGTTCACAGATATTACAGCACCAATACTGTCTATAATTGAATTATTTTCAGCAACCTTAATTTCACTAATAGGTCTGAAGAAGAATTGTTGTTGTGGTATAGAACCATCTTCATCAGGGCAAAGATCGATCGTTGAAGTTGCCTCCAAATATATCTCCCATTCATTTTTCAGATGGTTGAAGTTCTTCTGTGTGGGTTTCAAGCTACCCTTTGATATCAAATAGACTTTACCAACCCACCTCTTTGGCATAAGTCAAACCCAGTGAAATTTATTGACACAAGTCAGTGAAATTTCAAAAAAACAAACTCAGAGAAATTTGTTTAATATATATATATATATATATAGGTTGCTATTGTTGCTTATTCATTCAATGAAATGATCTTCTTTCTCTGCTTTGAACTGAAATTTCTCTGGATTGGTGAAGAGAAATTTTCTTGTTTGAATTGAAATTTTTCTAGATTGGTCCAGAGAAATTCTCGGGTTTCAATTGAATTTTCTCTAGATTGGTCCAGAGAAATTCTATGATTTGAACTGAAATTTCTCTAGGTTGTTTGGATTGAACTAGTCCTCAATGTTGCCCAAAATGCTGGAAACATCATACAGAGTTTTCGCCCAACTGTTCAACCTCCATACCAACTGCCTCCAAATTACAAAGCCCATGGGTCAATTATAAAGAATGAAGCACCAGCATGAATAATTCCAATTGCTGCTTTGAATCCTTATCAAGGTCGGTGGGCAATCAAGGCAAGAGTAACTGCAAAAGGAGAGATCCGCCGTTACAACAATGCCCGGGGAGATGGAAAGGTGTTCTCCTTTGACCTTCTTGCAAATGGTTTTAAAATTTGTTGAAGAATTTGACAAAAAAATATACCCAAACAAGACAGAAAATTTGAAATTAGTGAAATTTTCACCTGAAAATAAAAACATATTCATCAAAATCCCAAAACTTATATATTCAAAATTTGAACTATAATTGACAATTTAAGATATTTTTATCAATTAGACCTCTTATTTGGTCGGATTATTTCAAATTCAAATGATATTAGAATTAGCTTTCATAAGTCAAAAAGTTCAGATTTAACAAAAGATGGAAATTCCAATGAGAAAATAAATAAATAAATAAATAAGATTTGTAACAGTTTTGTTCAGCACTGATTTGCTGAACAAATTAAGGTGGTTGTGGCATTTTTGGCAGGAGATGAAATACGAGCCACCTGCTTCAATGCCATTGTTGATCGCTTCCGACGAGTATAGTACACTAGCCGATGCTCACGTCCTACCTGCATCGCATGTGAGTTATTTCGCTGGAGTATGGATCTTAGATTACATAAATTCCACAGCAACATCCAGGTTGCCGCTGCTTGTACAGAAAGCAATCTCGATCAACGGAGACTAGGAGGAGGACGTTGTCGAAGGGATGGGATTTGGGGGTAGGGGAAGATCTTGAAGCTTTTGTTCATTTGGTTGTAGGAAAGAGAGAGGAATCGTGGGTAAAGAGTTAAATTTCTCTGATATATGTTTAAAGACCTTAGACATCAAAAATAATTTTGTGAATCTCTTCCATTACAAAAAGTAGGGGAGGGACCCTAGACTAATTTTTCCTATTTTAAAAGTTATACTTAGCAGTCTAGCAGGATCAAAATTTTGTTTGTGGAGTGAATTGAAAATTGGGATCACTGATACTCAATTTTTTTTTTTCTATTTTTTATTTATTCTTCAATTTTGATTTATTAATAAAGTAATTGATTTTACATAATACATATGAGATAATTAGTAAATTGAAAAACTAAAATTATGAAATTTAACAAGACGAAATGTATTTATATTTTATCGTAAATATAACTATTTTATGGAAACTAATTAATGTTAAATAAATTTTATTTTATATTATAATTTAATTTTAAAAATAATTTTTTTCATTTATTTATTTTTACCCGTGCATAACACAGGTGTCATACCAGTAATGATTTATATATAAGAACTTATAATTAAAAGAATTAAATCATGAAAGTGAATTTTGTTCCGAGTCCGTAGATCTAAACTGTACTAATCCACACAATGAACTAAGAAAAACCAAGCCAGCAATAAGCTGTAAATTTGCCTATTGGACTAAATTGGTTATTAGTTCTTGGCTATCATTCTATCTTAAGGCATCATTAAATTAAACAAATTTACAAAACAGAGAATCCAAAGTGCACAGACAACTAGAGTTTAATTAAAAATTATTAACCACAAACAAAGAAGGAAAATTTGCTTCCTTATTACTTTGAGGAGAATTCTTACATCACCTAAAAAACTGTTGAAGTGATGAAATAGACAGAGATACAGCCTTTTTTTCTGTACATTTCATTCCAAAACAAAGCCTACTAATCCTACACGAAGAACTTCAGCAAATGACAATAATAAAAAAAAAAACAAACTTACCAAACACGCGGTTTAATACTAATACTACACAAAAATCTTCAGTAGAAGATTTTAGAAGCAAAATTGCCTACTGATCCTAAACTAAGACCTTCAGCTAGATGTTAACAGGTAAAATTTGAAAGCCAAAAAATCATCAGAAGATGATTAATCTTACTGCACAAGTCAATTGCCCAATCTCCTTTCTCCCAAAAACCCGAGTCTCTGAGATTGTTCAATCAACGCATTGACATCAAAGAACAGATTCTTTTTTCCCTTTCAGCCTTCTTAGCACCAGGAGTGCTCTTTAATTTCTTCAATTCTTCCAACACCACTTTCTCAACTGTGTCAATTGAGTTCAGGAGCTTCTTCTGGGGGGTGAGGCAATCAGGCTGTCCAACATTTTGATTGGTGATATCAAGCAATATCTTTGGTACTTTACCAACAGATGGTGGAAATGACTTCTTCATTCTAACTGTGGGATTTGGGGAGATCATAGAAATGTCATGCTCGAGTTGAGCACTTGATGTAGGCACAGAAGGATCAAGAACATTCTGATCCTGGGGTATTGGACTCTCAATATGTAGGCCTTCAGTTTCCCTCAAGCTAGCTCTTCTTCTTTCAATGGCCTATTAAAGAATATCAATTGCAAATTAGATTCATCAAGATAATCTCTACAAAATAAAACAGAACAGAGGTTCAAATCTCCTTCCCATACATCATTTATATGTTCCAAGGGAGTGTAAATTTTTGGCACTTAACCCTAGCATAGCCAACTTTACTTTTCTTTTCTTTTTTCTTTTTCTTTTTCTTTTTTGCATTATTCTAAGTAGGTAAGTAATATTTATTCCAACCAAAGAAAAATGTACAATGATGCTCAAAAAAGGCAAAGGGAACCAGAAACACCATCTCTTGCTAACCCGACAAAGAATTTGACAAGGCTTGGTTCCAATGGTTTTAAGCTTTGAAAGATTATAAAAATTTTGTGCTCAAGTTGAGCAACAGCCATGGGTGCAGAAGGACTTAAGATCACTTTGGCCATCAATAAGCAGGCTCTCAAATCAGTTGGTACAAACGCAACATGATTTCTTGCTGACTTGGCCGAGAAAATGCAAAAAACGGCCCATGAATTGACTGAAACAGATTATCCGAACTCAGAACAATAATTTTGTTGCCTCAACAATGTTGTTAAGATCCAAATAAAAACACAACACGTAAGAATCACAACTTTACATTCTGATTTTCTTTTGAATAAAATGAGTAAAAATGAAAGAACTATATGCAAAAACTGCCCATGAATTGACTGAAACCGATTAACTAACTCAGAACAATAATTTGTTGTCTCAACAATGTTGTTAAGATAAAAATAAAAACGTAACACGAATGAACTACAACTTTATAGTCTGATTTTCTTTTGAAGAAAATGAGTACAAATGGAAGACCTATATAAATTTTGCCAAGCATGATCGAGTGTAAAACAGAAAATCCTAGAAATGGAGAATTGAGCAATAAAGGTAATGATGTAATATTAAGACAAATATAGTATAAAATATAGATAGAACTGGAGTAGAAACTTTCAATTTACTTTGAACTTCAAATTCAAGCTAATGAATTCCTTAAAGAGACAAAATACTGATCAACTTGTTTGGTTTTGGTTTTGGTTTTCAAAAAATACTTTATAGAAAAATCTACCTTTTTATTTTTCGTATTTTTTTTTGTTTTCAATGAATTTTTTTAATATTTTAAACAATTTTTTTAATTTTTAGACACACCTAACATAAATACACTTAAGAGGTATAATATTTGTGAATTTTTTTTTTAAAAAAAAATCACTAAATACCAAAAATACAATAAAAAATACAAAAATTCAATACATTTTTCATATTTTTGTGTATTTATTAATTTTTTAAAATATTTTTTTTACAAATATTTTACTATTTAAATACATTTAAGTAAAGTGCATCTAAAAAAGTAATAAAAAATGGTTAAAATTTTAAAAATATTCACTAAAAACAAGAAAACATATAATTTTTAAAAAACTAAAACCAAACACACTAAATGCAATTTTTTTTTTTTTTTTTTTTTTTTTTAACTTGAACTCAAGAAACACATCACAAAGAGGAAGGGGTAACTTCGACTAGAGTCTCATTATTACCAAATACATATTGACATTTTTTCACTTAATAGATGAAAGTAGAACAGAGTCTCAACAAAAAATTAATGCTTTTCTAATGCACTTCTAGCCTCATAAATGAATGCAAATGAACAAAGTAAGAGACCATGGTTCAAATTCAACTGGATGCAATTCAAAATCCATAAAGACAATAACCAACCAAGCTGAGATTTTACCTAACAATCAAAGATGTAGAAACCAGACAAAAAAGGGATCAACAATAGATTACAACACCATGGTGTCCAAATATAACCATCACCTCATTCAAGTTTCACCAACCACCAATAATTCCAAATTAATATTGCAAAAAAAGTACTATTGCAAATGTTGAAACAAAAAATACTAGCATTTCAAGAAATGCGTTGTTCCAACCATGTTTCTCATTCTCATATAAACTAAACTAGCACAAATGATAAATACCAAAAATCATCATCATAGTTAAACTGAAACAACTTTAAGATTAATTATTAAGTACCCCTTTTTAATATGATTAAGACTGGTGATCAAACCCTTAAATAATCTAGAATAAATTCATAACATATGACAAATATCACACAGCCCATGAATCATATTGAACTAGTTTTACGCTAAATGCCACTAAAGATTCATCACAGGCACATTTAAGCAAGATACTTAAAACCATCTACATTGCAATCTCCAAAAGCAACCAAGAACCAGTGTACAAAATAAATGACCTCAAATGAATCATATCCAACAAAAAATGAGTTAAATTTAACCAAAATTCATCGCAACCCTACACATTATCAAACTAAAAACACCAAAATGACAACATTAATGGAAATAAATCAAAACATAAATGAATATAACACAACCAAAGGCAATCAATAGATCAAGAAACTTAAAGAATCGTTACCCGCACGATTGCAGTGATGTCGCGAAGAGGCGTTCTAGGGTACCAAGAAGGTAACACACTACCACGTCCTCCTCGTCCTCGTCCTCGCCGAACTCTTCCCAAAGGCGTGTTCTCTTGACCCACAACCACCGGCGATCTATACAAATTCCGACCACCACCGCGCCTATATCTAGTTCTTGGAGTTCCCAAACTACCCCTTCCGACACCACCACCTCGTGTAGCAGCCAATCCCATCGCTCCACGTGTACCCGTCATCGCCGTTGCTCCCCACCGGAACGGAGTTCCAGAACCCACCTCTTCTGGTTCATCAAGTAGGATCGCTATGCCTCCAATCGATTGCCGCCGACGAGCAAACATCGCTGCAATGTCGTCAGGCCTCGATAATCTGTCTCTTGACTCCGGCATTGTATCAATCTTCAACTGAAAAATCAAATAAATTGTCAAAATAGTTAGATCAAGCATTCGACAATGAAAATGAAAGCTACCCAAATGCTAAGTTTCAATTTCTCGCCGGAAAATGTCAATTCTCCGGCAACCCAGACGTGAAAACATCAATTTTTCACAAACCCAGTTACCAGATTCCCGATTTGCCGATGAAATCAAGAAAACCCAGATCAGTAAACAACGAAGAAGATAGTGGGTATTTTTTTACCTTGAAAATGCTTGGGTTTGGGGGCTTGATGATGATGATGGGGTGGCTCTACTCTGCATATGTCTGTGTGAAGATTGAAGGTAAAGAAGAGAGAAGAGAGAAGAGAGAGAAAGCTTTGAGAGAAGCGAATTGGCAAATTTTCAAAATGAAATTTGGGCGGTACTTTATACAAAAACCGAAAATTCAATACAAAAAATTGTTCACTGTTGTTCGCACGTGCGAGACTTTCAAATTTCAAATTTTGTTTTTGGATGGTGCGCCGAAAACGCTATTTTGCGCTTGAGCCATTTTGCTCCTGATTTGACTTCAAAATTTCACCAAGGATCCTCTAGAGTGAAATTTTCCTAAAGTTTCCTAGAGTGCTTCATTGTGTGGTTGAGATTCACTGGCAAGTCACATCAGAAAAATTGATGCGACTTGCCAATAAATCTCAACCACACAATGGAGCACTCTAGGAAACTTTAGGAAAAAATCACTCTAGAGGATCCTTGCTCTCAAGATTTGGCTCAACTAAAAGCCCAATGGACTGGGTTTTTCTTTGAAAAATGTCTCGTAACTCAAATTTTGTGGCTCAAATGGCCAAAACGATACATCGTTTGGCCATTTTTATGTTATTCTGTACTCAAAACGACGTTGTTTTGGCCATTTGAGCCACAAAATTTGAGCTACGTAGCATTGTCGCTTTTCTTTTAGGACCAACAAAAACAAGGGGAATTTACTGATAAGTCCCATGTACCAAGTTCAAGATCCAGTTAATCCCAAAACAAAACACTTGCACCAATTAGTATAATACATTTTTAATTGTTACAAAAAAAATTCTTTTTTTTTTTTTTAAATTTACAGACACTGTTCACATCTCACTACCATCGGACTTCCGTCAAACGGTTGCCGGAGACTCGTCGGAATGTTCAACATCACCGGGAAGTCGCCGGAGTCAAATTAATCAAACTGAAAAACATGTTATGAAACTGTAAAATTTTACAGTTTTATACCATGATTCATTCCAGTACCAAAAAAATTTGAAACTGCAAAATTTTACAGTTTTTACCGCCTGTAACTAAAACTCGAAAACTACTTGTTCAGAATCTGTTATTCTCTCCTTCTTCCTCTGTTATTAGTTTTTTTTTTTTTTTTTTGATTTGTGTAAATTTGGTAGATTTGTGTATTTTGATTCTTTAATTTAGATTTTGATTTTGATTTTGATTTTTTCGAAGAGCAGGGTTGCGATTTGGATGAAGACTTCTATAAAAGGATTGCATTATTCAGTGAATGACTTCATATATAATCTAGATCAAGTGAGATAGTGCGCCAATGTCAAGTAATTTCCGAAATGGAGAGAGCATGAGTGGAAAGAACATGATTTGGTAACGGTGGATCTTGACTTGGAACTTGGATGCTGCCAGTTTTATTTTTGCTTTTGTTGTTATCCTCACGTTTAGGTAAAGCTGGACTGCTCTGCTGCTGCTGCTGAAAACAGAGGCAAAGGGGAAGGAAGAAAAACGAGAGAAGAAAACGTAAAGAGGGAAGCACAAAGCAGAAAGATAGAGGAAAAAGGACTTTTAGGTGTACTCAAAAAGTTATGGGATTAAATAGTGTCCACATGTTCCACATGGGACCTGTGGGTAATTTCCCCAATATTCAAATAGTTTGATTTGTTTTACAACCCAAATTGTCGACATGGGTAGGTAAATGATAGATGGGCCCCAATAACACATTAAGCAGGTCCATGAAATCAACTCACAAGAAATTAACTTACTTGGGCCACCTTTATCAAAATTGATGTTGTTTACCCATTAAACCTTTGGTCCCCTCAAATCCAACATTCGTAGTATTTGATATCCCTTTTTTTTTTTTTTTTTTTTTTTTTTTTTTTGATTTGTGTAAATTTGGTAGATTTGTGTATTTTGATTCTTTAATTTAGATTTTGATTTTGATTTTGATTTTTTCGAAGAGCAGGGTTGCGATTTGGATGAAGACTTCTATAAAAGGATTGCATTATTCAGTGAATGACTTCATATATAATCTAGATCAAGTGAGATATTGTGCCAATGTCAAGTAATTTCAGAAATGGAGAGAGCATGAGTGGAAAGAACATGATTTGGTAACGGTGGATCTTGACTTGGAACTTGGATGCTGCCAGTTTTATTTTTGCTTTTGTTGTTATCCTCACGTTTAGGTAAAGCTGGACTGCTCTGCTGCTGCTGCTGAAAACAGAGACAGAGGGAAAGGAAGAAAAAGGAGAGAAGAAAATGTAAAGAGGGAAGCACAAAGCAGAAAGATAGAGGAAAAGGACTTTTGGGTGTACTCAAAAAGTTATGGGATTAAATGGTGTTCACATGTTCCACATGGGACCTGTGGGTAATTTCCCCCAAAAAGAAATGTGCTTTTTGGAACATTTCTCTTATCATGTTAAAAAATTTCTTTTATACACACGACAAATCTAACTAATTAGATCATTTCTAATTATTTCTCAAACTTAAATTTGAGTTAAAAATCATTAAAAAATCTCTTTTAATGAGACTAAACAAGACTTTCCGATAACAACTAGGGACAGGGACCAACTATAGAGCCTAATTAAAAAGAATTCGAGTTTGCTTTCTCAATTCACATCTATGAGTGATGATTCCTCTCTCTCTCTTGCTCGCTTCGATCGGACTTTGACAACTCATTTCCTTTATTCAAACTTTTATCCAATTTAAACTTGATAATTGGACACTTTTACAAAGACTTGCCACTAATCTCATTTACTCCAACTAGGGTCGAGCAGCAGATATACCGATCCGCCAAAACCGATTGAACCGAACCGATCCGCCGCATTTTGAATGGATGCGTGATGATGAGCGGACGGTTGCGGATTGATTTTCTCCAATCCGCTAATCTGGTGGACGGATGACGGATTTGAGATTCTTTTGGCCACAACCAAACCGCTAAACCACAAGCATCCCTAGTAATTTATAAAACTTTGCGTTTTCAGTTTGTTTAAATATTTTGTTTATGTTTTCAATTAAAAAAGAGTTTAAATATTTTGTAGAAAAAAAGTTTTCAACTTGAATATCTTTTTTGAATTGAAAAAAATAAATGTATTATTTATCTATATTTTTTTATTTTTAAATCTATTTCTAAAAATAATAAATAGAAAATATGATTTATGCTGGTTGGTTTTTATTTTCAAAAACACATATAGATGTAACAATACAGAGACATACAATCTCTATTACTGCTCTGTTCATGATTTTGGTGGCTTGAATTGTTTTTATATTTTAAGAACAACAGATTGTAATACTCTATATGGATGAAGTATGCTGTGATTGTAGTATGTGGATGAGGCATGCAGTATTGTAATATTTTTTTAAGTTATTGAATGCAATACTTTCTTTTTCTTTTTTTGAGGAAGTGCATAAGTTGAATTATGTTGAAAATTTATAAAATTTTAAACCGCCAAACCGATTCGCATCCATTCGTCAAATTGCCAATCCGCTCAATCCACATCCGCCGGATTAGCGGACGAATACGGATTAATTTTCTTTAATCCGCCAATCTGGCGGAGGGATGGCGGATTGGAGGTTCTGTGGCCGCAACCGACCTACACCCACCCCTAACTCCAACTCATAACTCATACTCAAACTTCTACTCAATTTTTGCAAAAGTTCAAAGGTTTGAGATGACATATTACCCACATTATCATTATGCCTATTTGTTAGTGTTATTTCCCTAACTTGACAATTTTAAACTTACTATCTTATTTTATTTTTCTCCTCTTCCCTCCTTCAAAATTGTTATTTTTCCTTGTCATCCACTCTCTATTTTATCTTTTTACATATATAGGGTTTTAAAAGTGGTGGGGGTGGAGGTGGGGACTAGGGTTCAAAGGAGGGTGGAGACTAGGGTTCGAAGGTAATTGGAGGGGGGAGAAGGGGTTGCAAGGTGGGGTGGGGCGCACCAAGGAGGAGATGACAAGGCTATGGGTGTCATGCATGGACGAAGAGCGAGGTAAATAATGGTCGCATGTGACTTTGTGTAGAGAAATGAAAATTTTAAAAACAATTGAATGAAATATAAGCTTCCCCCACCCCATGAATCATTCAGCAAATCCAAAAGCTAAACGCATCATAAATTTGTGAAGCAAGAGAAGTCAACCAACAAATTGAGAATGTTAAAAATTGGCAGCAATCACTATGGCTATGAGTCTCATGGACATATTCTCAATCTTCAACCAAAATTTAATTCCCCTGCCAAAGAAGCCCTGCACCCACCCTGCACATGTAGTAGTTTTGGCTGAGTGTCTTAACAGACAAATCATGGTCCCAAAAGTTCAAGGAAAGTGAAAAGAAAATCTCTCACTATATTCAGCAAAACCAACCCAATCATGCTTGGATTAAAGAATAAAAAAAATCGATATAACAATTCTGTAATCATCCAAACAAGAAAGTAGTAGTTTGCCCTTTTCCTATTTTCCCTATGAGAAGACTGCCTTTCAAGAAGGAAGCTGCTTGATTTTCATCTCAATCTAGGCAAGCACTTCAAAAAATAGCACACTTATGAACAACAACATACCCTTAGCAATGCACATTTCATCCTAAAATGTCAATCCACTCTTTCTAAAAAACAACTTTTTTCTTCAAAAAAATCCATCCTAAATGAACACATTTCAAGATAAATAAAAATTTAAGAAAATTTAATGTAAAAGGTGGAAAATAAAGATTACGATGATGACATGCAACAACCCTTTCTCCCTCCTGAATCTGAGTTTTGGCTCGGAACAATAATCCTAGTTCCCTTGAGAGATGCTGACTTGGCATAGTCTGATCCATCATTGGCAAGAAGGGTCTTCTTGCTCATGATGCGGTATATTTCTGTCAAAACTGTCAAAAATGCACTTTCGACATTGGTGGCCTCAAGTGCAGATGTCTCCATAAAACATAGGTTCTCTCTCTCAGCAAACTCTTGGGCATCTTCAGTTGGTACTGCTCGAAGACTTCCCAAGTCACACTTGTTACCAATGAGCATGATTACAATGTTCTTATCAGCGTGCCCCCTTAGTTCCTCAAGCCACCTAGCCATGTGGTCGAATGATTGGCGCTTTGTCATGTCATAGACTAACATTGCACCAACTGCGCCACGGTAGTATGCACTCGTCACTGCTCGATACCTGATGAACAACAAACAACATAACTTCAAGACCCCTAAAAACTATTAGAAAAATATAGCAGTTTGAAACGCATACATATTGAATTCAAAAACACAATTTTTGAGTTTGTAATCATTAATTGTGGAGCATTTTGCATTGTTCTTTAGTGTCGGGTTTGACTAAAAAATTGACTTAAGGTGCTTACCAAGATCCTTATCACACCAAGCTTCGACTGTTAAATAGGGCCTATTATCTCGAATATTATTCTGATTGGATGAAATAAGTCTGTGACATGTACATAAAGTGCAAAACATCTGGAATTTGAAGCCTCCTGTGAGCCTAGTTCAAAAGCTAAAATCCCTTCATGGTCACCTTCCATTACGATGAGAGCAAAATAAATAAGGCTGCCCAAAGGTATTAATGTCGCATACATTGTATGTCAACCAGTGGATCACCCTTCAATTTCGCATGTTTCACTCAAATAAAGTAAATGGACTAAATAGATGATTAATAGATCCAAGCACTGGATCTATCAAGTTGCTTCCAGAAGTCTCCAACACCTGCTTTCAGACTACAAATTATTGAAATTTGGAGAGCAATCGTAGCCAAACCAGGCATGTGGAGGGCCCAAAAGGGAAGAAAAAGAAGAAGAAGAAGAAGAAGAAGAAGAAGAAGAGGGAAGAAAGTAAGAAAAACTAAAAATTCCTTCAAATAAAGGACTTACTATTGGTTCTTTTCATAATATCAAGCATAACATCTGAAATTTAACCACTGCTGTAATGTCTAGGATTGGTACTTTAAGCTTTCTAGTATCCTAATTAAATTTTGGTTTTTGAGTTCATGTTTAGTTGTTTGACACGAGGGGTAGTCCCCCTTTAAATTTCAATCTCCTTCTTATTGGTGTGCACTTTTCCACTTTTCCCCCTACACTTGTTTAATGAATCCACTAAACAGAAAAAATAAGGAAAGAAAAAAATAAATCAAAAGATCCCTTCCCTTCCTCCATTGTCCACGTTGTGGGTCAACCAGCCAACCACTCAAACAGTGTATTAATAAGTTAAAAAATTATACAACCAAGCTTGGCTTAATAGTTCCTTGATTCAAAACTACCACTAAACCAAAGGGCCAAGATGGTTCAGACACAACAGTCCAAGAAACTAAAATATCCTATGACTCTACTTTTGTCCAGACATCTGCCAATCAGACAATAGCTATTGTGACCTTGTCCACATATATTTTTTTGATTCCAACCCTGTCCACATATATTACACTTCTTCAATGGAAGTGCTAAATCAGAGGTAGTTTAAAATGCCTATTGTAATTGAAGCGTGAGGGATATCTTGTATTATTATAGCATAGTGCTAAATGAGAGGTAGTTTAAAATCTCAACATATATAATATATTACTTCTTCAATGTGATAGTTAGATCCTTAAACACATTGGTGAGATCTATTCAAAACAAAGAGTTCAATCAACAAAATTGAATCTTGAATTTGTTGGGAGCTGCCAATGCATCTTTAATGCAAGTTATTACATTTTTTTTAAACAATCACCACTTCAGTCTATGAATAGAATGTTGGATCCTTGATGTATGATTAAGGGGACTCCAATTCAACTATGCTATTTATAATCCCACATTTGGAAAATACAAACTCCAATAACACAATAATAAATCATAGCAAATAAAACATTTGAATGTAAAAATGGCAAATTATGAAAAAAATTGAAGCAATGGGCATATATACCTTTCTTGGCCAGCAGTGTCCCAAATCTGAGCTTTCACCGTCTTGTGATCGATAACAAGTGTTTTAGTCTGGAATTCAACCCCAATTGTTGCTTTCGAATCCAAACTAAATTCATTCCTCGCAAACCGTGCCAATAGCTGAGATTTCCCTATACAGCTGAGTCCCCTATCAATACCACCTTGAATACATAATCAATCTTTTGATTAAAATCTCCATACAAATTCGACATCCTCACAACAAACACCCCAAAATCAATCTCTCAATCACCCCTCTCAAATCTACAGATTTGAACATACAATGTTGGGTTATATGAAAACCCAATGGATCACAAATGAACAAAAAATCTGTTTTTATCAATCATGTGAGGAAATTTATAATTGGATCTGAAAGCTTAGATTTTTCAAACAAAATAATTCATTGAAATTAAGGTTAGGGTTTTTGGGAAAATCAGAGATTAGGGTTAGGGTTAAGGTATGTGAAAGATCAGATTGAGAGAGTTTTGAACATGGTGACGTTAATTGGCTCTCTGTGTTGTGCAGATGAGTTTGGAGAGAGAGAGAGAGAGAGAGAGAGAGGTTGGGGATGACCAACGGCTAGTGCGGGACCTGTTAACGGTTTTTTGGGAGGTGGGAAAAATTCTGGTGTATTCATGCTATACGGTATTAATTAAATGATGGTAAGATCTGGATCGTTAGATCAGATTTGTTGGATTCCATCAACCATCGAGGACGTTCATGAGGGGATTTGTTTGGTCAACTATGACATATAGACTTCTAATAAAAAGTTATAGGCAGTATTTGGCATTCCTATAAAAAATATATTTTTTATCTTTTTATTTTTGTTAAGTTATATTAATTACTTTTTTATTTTATTTTTTTTGTATATTTTTTTATAAAAAATTAAAAAATATATTTATTTAAATCATTCCAAACACCTTTATAAGGCTGATTTAGTTGATTTTTTGACTTTTTTTTTTGATTATTTTAGTCTGATTAAAAAAATTGTGTTTGAGAAGATAGATAGTTGATTTTTTTAATTGATCTAATGATTGTGAATAAACACGTAAAATGATTATGATTTAAATATGATATTTTGTCTTATTAATTATTTTATTTTATTTTATTTTGTCTTTACGAATTATTTTGACCCAAAATCTTCTATTCAAACAACACGATAATGATAGAAGTTATGTTTGGTAAAAATCAAAATTGAATATTGAATGACGTTGATTGTTGTGGTGGTAGAACGGTGAGATAGGTAAAGGTTATATCATTTAGGTTTTGTTTGTTTGACGGATTATATTAGATTGGATGAAATTAGTAATATGATAAGATTGAGTAATAAGATTAAGGGGAATTTTTTTTAAGGTCCCTAATAATAACAATTTAGAGCATAAAGAACACCTAAAAAAAATAGTGATGCATCAGGTCCCTAAACAACTTGGCGCGCGTTTTTAATTATTTTGTGGACCAAAATACCCTTGCCAAAATCAACACAGAAACGAAACTCATTCCAACGTCTGAGTTCTATTCCAAACATCCAGCATCTTCACGAATAGGAGAATAGCAGAATTAGGGTTTCAACATCATCTGCACCATCGACATTAGAGTTTCGTTATCTTCTCCAAAAATCATTCCCATTCCTTCCTTACAAATTTCTCTGACCTAGGTTAAAGCTTCGTTTTCATTGCTCATCATCATCTCAGTCCATCTTCTTCACGTCCCATCTTCATCTCGGGCCATATCAGCTCGTCATTCAAGTTTCATCCTAACTCTGGTCAGTTTTTCTACAATATAACTAGATTTTCTCTAGAAACACAGTTAATATCATTTTATAATAACCTTCCATAAATTAGGGTTTCAATTTCGTAATAAAAAGCTACCTGAATTTGGAAAAAGTTATTTCTGTGTGTTTTGAACTTATTCTTGAACATGTTTGTGTGATTTTATTTGTAAATTTCTCTGGCATTTGAATTTCTCTGATTTTTGCTTGATGTATGTTTCTTCTTTCAATTTTCTCTGGCATGTTTATTTTCACAAAAACAATTTTCTGTGTTTTTATCTTATTCTTGAACATGTTTCTGTAATTTTGTCTATAAATTTTCCTGCTCTGTAAATTTCTCTGTAATATGTATTTTTAATTGGAATGTCTATCTTTCTTTGGAATGTCTATTACTCTCTTGCTTCTGTCTAAGTTTCTCTGGTATTTATAATTTTCTCTGACCACATCACATCACTTTCCTCCCTTGTGTGTCTCTATCATTTTTAATTTTCTCTGGAATTTTAATATTATGGACTGGAATGAATGTTTCTTCTTTGAATTTTCTCCGCCATGTGCATTTTGAGAAAAAATTATTTCTCTGAATTTTGATCTTGTTCTTGAACATGTTTCTGTGATTTTGTCTATGAATTCTCTGCTTTGTAAATTTCTCTGGAATATGTATTTTTCTCTGCAATGTCTATTACTCTCTTGCCCCTGTCTAAGTTTCTCTGGTATTTATAATTTTCTCTGACCACATCACACCACTTTCTTCCATTGAGTGTCTCTATCATGGTTAATTTTTTCTGGTTGTGTATGTAAATTTCTCTTGCATTTTAATATTATGAATTGAAATTTTCTCTGGAATGAAAATTTCCTCAAGAATGTATAATTTTCTCTGGAATGTGTATTTTTCTCTGGTATGTTTATTTTGTTCAATTCTTGGTTTCAATATGGTGTAATTCTCAGTGGCATGTTTACATTATTTTGTTTATTTTATCTTGCTAATTGTGGAATGGAAATTTTCTTTCGCTTGCCATGTTTACTTTTTTCTATCATTCATTTTCTCTGGTATGTTTACTTCTATATGTAATTTTAACAATTATTAAAAATTTCTCTCCCATGTTTATGATGCTGTGTTGATTTTCTCTGACATTTAATTTTTAATGTCAAATTTTCTCTGGCATGTCAAATTTTCTCTGGCATGTCCAATTTTCTGTAATTTCCCCTTATCTGTAATTTTCTCTGGCATCTCCAATTTTCTCTTTTCTGTAATTTTCTCCCTTATCTGTAATTTTCTCTGACATGTCCAATTTTCTCTGAGATTTAATGTTGACATCTTTACGTTTTAATCATTGTCTAGAAATGGCAAAATGTAAAAGCAGTGAAACACCGGAAACACCAAGCAAAAAAAGAAACTCTCTGTCTTCTTATGGACTAAGATAAAAAATCAGCAGCAAAACACTAGAAACACCAAGCAAGAAAGAACAACTCTCTCAGTCTTCTTATCATCTAAAATAAAAAACCAGCAGCAAAACACCACAAACTCCTCACCAAAACACACAAGTCCAAGCTGATGAAGCAACTAGCATCCAGATGAGTACCCCAACTTTAAAAGACTCAAGCTCAAAGGGGAAAAAAACTTGTTAAACTCCACAGAAAGAGAGCTCATTACAGCATTTAATTCCGATCCAACCTCTCATCTGTCGTCTCCTTTTTTCAAACACTTAAATTCAATTCAAAACAACTTCTAGAGCTTCAAAAGACCTCATTCTGGTATTTGATCCAGGCTCTAACCACTGGAAGGATGGATCCAAAGAAATCTAGGAAATCCGATGATGATGTAATTTCCATAATCCAATGTTACAATGAAAAAACAAACGCATTCACAGTTGGTAAGAAGAACCTGACCTTGACAACAAATGACATGACCTTGATTTTTGGTTTGGAAGCAGGTAAAGGAGCCATGTCATTAAGATACTCTAAAAAGCCAAAATCTGCATTCCTCAGGAGAAGATTCCAAAAGGACACAAGGCTCACTGGTCCCGTTCTTAAAAATGCCTTGGTCAAAGCAATGAAAGGCAAGTAACCAACTGACTTCAAAGATGTAGCAATCATTGTTACATTGTACTTGTGTCTCACCATATTTTTTGCAACAAGTGGGAATTCAATAGGTTGGGTTTTTATAAAGCATGTGGAACCTCTTGAATCAATGAAACAGTATGATTGGCCGGAAGCAATCACATCAACATTGATTGATTCTATCATGGCATTACACAAAACTCCAGAAAAAGTTACGGGGTGTGTCATTGCATTGCTGCTAAGTATAATATCCATTCAAATTTGTAGTTATCATACTTACAAATTTGTGCGTTTAGAAAATTTTATTTACTTTCATTTTCATCACAATATTGGCTCTGTGAACATGCAACTATCATTGACTTGGAAGATAGTAACACAACTGACTTCCCAAGATGTGCCAAGTGGAACCTGCAAACCTTGACGAAACAACTGCAGAAGACACCAGTCCACTCTCTTGCACCTCGACAAGTTAGATTCCTATTGCTTCTGAAATCTCAGTGAAATTCTAAAATTTCTCTGACCACTGCTTTGTTTCCCTCCTTGTGCATTGATTGATTAAGATCAATTTTCTCTGAACTATCAATTTATGTTTTCTTCTTTGGTTACCACTGGTCTATTTCTGCCATTGTAATCAATTTTCTCTGCCATCCAAATTTCTCTGACCACAGTTGTAACACATTAACTTATATGCCCTGATTGATTTTCTCTGATATCTAAATTATGTTGGTTGTTTCATAATTTTCTCTGGCCCATCAAATTTTATCTCCTTGTGTGTAATTTTCTCTGCCTATAACTTATGTGCCTTGCATCTTTGATAAACACTGTTTATTTTTACCATTCTAATGAATTTTCTCTGGAATCCAAATTTCTCTGACACAATTGCAGTAAAACATTAACTTATATGCCTTGATTGATTTTCTCTGATATCTAAATTATGTTGCTTGTTTCATAATTTTCTCTACCTCATAAAATCAACTCCATGTCTCTAATTTTTTCTGGCCCATATAATTTTCTCTGAAGTTTGTTTCCCATTCGTATCATTTAGATGAATTTTATTTTCCTTATTTGAATTTTTTCTCTCAGTGAATTTTGTAACATTTCTCTAATAAAAGAGTCTCCTGTTACAGATAGATAACAAGCAGCTAGTCAAAAACCCATCAGAGGAGTTCTGTCTTGGCAAAAAGACGAAGAAAGAATCAAAAAAGGCAATTGTCAAATTCAAGGAGACATTACAAGATCCATCTGAAGATGGAGGGAATGAACAAGCAGAAGGCAACATAGAAGAATACGAAGCCAGCAATGGACAAGAATATCAAGCAAGCAGCGGAGAAGAAGAAACCAGAGAAAAAAGTGAAGAAATAGAAGCAGAAGACAAAGAACAAAATGAACAGAAAGAAGAAGACAGTGAACAAGAAGAAGAAGAAGAAGAAGATGAACAGCAAGAAGAAAACAAGGATGAAAGTGATGAAGAAGAAAATAATGAGCCGATGGATCAACAACGTGATAACATTTGTGGCTTAACAATGCATCAGCCTGAAGAATTTGAGGAATCAAAGGATGCCCAAATTGCTGATCTACGTCAAAGACTGAAGGCACTTTCTCAATCTAAAAAAGAAGAAGACAGAAATTGGATTGAATTACTTGCTGAAAAGGATATTTCAATAAGAATCCTGACATTACTTAACTCAGAACTTCAAGAAAAAAAAAGCACAATCCAAATGAAACTAAGGATGTT